GGAAGAGCCCAGGCCGATCGACGCCAGGGACTTGATCGAGATTGTGTCGGGAAACGAGCGGGGAACTTGATGATTCCCGTTGAACTCGGTGTACAGGTTGGAGGACCAGGTGGGCGACGAATGGTGACAGCAGGAACAGCGCTGCGGGCTCTCGTCCATGACGGCGTTGGAGATCCTCGGCGAACGCGCGTTAAGACAATGATGATGTCGTATCAGGTACGGCTGATCGATGCTCCTGAGGCTCAGTCCACCGGGACTCTGCGGGATTCCGTTGTCACGACCCGAGCTCGATCCGGACTCGGCCTGGTCGATCAACAGTGGCCGAGATCGCGGCCACCGATGACCGCTGTTCCGAACCACGCTCTCAGGACTGTCATCGCGACTCGCGATCGTTTTTCTCACGACGTTGTTCGTTCCCACCGTAGGCGCGACAATGACCCTACGTACGGCGGAATTCAGTAAATGACCTCTCTCCTCCGAGGACCACTCGGCGGAGCCGTTCTCGGAATATTTCCGATGACCGCCGATCCTGATCGGCTCCGTGTCGTCGGACATGATGTCCTCCTCCTCCGGCATCGCGCTCATTTTACGCACGCAGTTCGCGTCTTGCTTGCCGCCGCGGAACTTGTGAATGACATTGCCGTGCCTCAGCAGGACGGGTTTGCCGCTGTCGCCCGGTTCGTCACTGACGCTGCCGCTGACGCCGCTGTCGTTATTGCCACTCTCGGTGTTCATGATCGCATGACGACCTCTGTAGACAGAGAAAGAGAAATATTGATGGAGGGGGAAAGAATACTTTTATTAGTATCTTAGACTAACTTAGAGAGGGAGAAGGAGGGGAAGCGGCTTATAGATAACAGAATCTCTTTACAAATTAATTTTTCATTTAAACCATATGTGTGCATACATATTCTACTTTAATACCTTATACTCAAATTAAAATTACTAGACTTTATCATAATATTAGATAAATATTGATAAATAATTCAGGTCTCTTATATGACACTTCTCAGGCAACGCAAAAATGTAGATCTAAAAATCGCTAATTTATCCAGTGTATAAATACATTCGATTCTTTCAAAGACATGCGAATAAAAGAGAAAAACGATTAATTTATCATTTATTAAATTTTTTTCAAAGGAAAAATTAATTCAAGAGTTATCACAGAGTCTGCAGCCGAAGAAACACTCAATGATGATTCTGGGACATTAGTAACTTTATATAAATGGACCATATAGAGAGAAACGTCCGACGGTGTTCGAGCGGGCTTCCGCCGATTTTATCGAAAAGGTGATAGTGGGCGGCGAGACGAGATAGAATACTGATGGGATTCAAACGAAAAGAATGCGTGCTTTGTTAGGTATCAAACAGACCGATTGACGCGTTTGGTTTCATAGTTTGCAATTGATGATTCTCCTCTGTAAAATATCGATTAAATATTCCACGAATGCTATTTCAACATTTTCGAGATGGGATATTAAATTTAAATCCCCGTGATATATATAATATATACATATCTGCTATTGTGTGTTCGCAATTCGTTTACAAATGGAAGCAACTTTGAATAGCAAAGAATCTCTGCCATATACTATCCATTTGATTAACATAAATTGTCGGATATATTAGACAGCATCCTGCGATAAATTTCAATTTGAAAATCGTACAGATTGATAATTTAAATTATTAACGACAAATAATTTACTGCCGCTTGTGAAACTCAAATCGCAAATCGTATGTGTGAAACATAAAATATTTATTTTGTCTATCATTATTAAATGTGAAAGAAGAATGAAACGTTTATGTTATATATTGTCATTCAAAAATTGTTTTTTTACAGCTATGGTAACGTTTGAAATCAGAGAACATATTAATATTTTTAAAATTTGAAAGACTTTTGTCTTTTGGCTTATTGTTTCAAGATTTTTACTTTTTTTATTATCTGATTCTCTCTATTTATCTATTTGACGAAATAAAATTTGATTTCACATTTTCCTTCTAATTCAATACAAATAGGTTTATCGTGTTGCGCGACTTTTTACGACTTTTCTGATAACTACAGATAACGTCATCGCAGGTGTGTACGATTATCAATCGAATATTTGTTACAACATTCCTACGCTTAACAGTGTTTGCACATGTTTTACGATATTTAAACAATTTCTGTACAATTTGTTACTTCGAATGATCCCTATGTAAAATATATTGCGTTAATATTTTTTACAAATTAATATTCAATCTTAAGCTTTAATTTTCAAAGTTCCTCTTGCAACACATTCATAATTGATGTCTCGAAATGCTACTAGAAAAATACTTGCAACAGTTGCTAGAATTAATACATTTTGATAGATATATATATATCTGCGTTAACTTTACAAACGCGTTATATGACTGTACTGGGGTATCTAAAAGGTCAAGCGAATATCAACTCGCCCCGCATGATGGAACATTTTCAAAGACTCATTGTCAACATTATTGCGCAAGCATTATAGAAAGCATTTGCTTATTCGATTAACGAGGAAAAACAATCAAAACTGGTCGAACGATCGATCGATCGGAGTGCGCGCGCTTTTCGGAGCACGTCGTCGCGAGTGAACGTCACACTCAGTGACACTTCCATGCGCGTCACGTGTCATGCGTTACCTGTCAGATCGCAGCGTGCCTCGAACGGATCGGGCGCGTCCCAACGAGCCGAGCAAAATTCATCTACGTATCATTCGAGTGATAATGAGACCGATACGCGCATAAATATACACACACACATACATACATACAAATATGTACACGTGTATTATCGTCTACAATGCGTAAAGAGATCGCGTATTTGTTATCTATGCACTTTCACTTTTATTCTTTTCCTCTCACTCTTTTTTTCTCTGTTTCTTTCTCCGAGCGAGCGCGAGATCGTCTTCGGACTGCGAAACATCGACGATAACCGTCGTGAACCCGCGTTTCACGACGATCCAGATTTGTGTGTGCGCCCGTGCGTCGTGATCACCCGCGAATCGTGACTCACACGCACGAGCACGCATACATTTATGATACCAAACACTGCGATGTCAGCGCCGTCATACGTGCGGTATTCATGACACGTGTATAGTTGAGAGAAAAAGAGAGAGACTCCAAGCTTGAATTGTATGACTCGTATAACTCGACCGGTTCTGGCGAGGACCAGTAATATCCTCTTCTGAACGCGTGTCCACTTCTCTTCTGTGGCCAACGCATCGATGAGTATTTAGCGAGTCGAGTGGGAGGAGATATCAATGTACGCTCGATCATAGTGTATGATTAGAGAGAAAGATGAATGTATAAACTGAGAGTGATAGATAGTTTAGAGAGTATTATTCAGATTTTATGGGATTTAAAGAGTATTATTGCTAGTTTCCTAGTATCGGATTTAAAGAGATTTATGACAACAAAATAAAACTGTACAAAAGATAACGTAATAATAGCTGATAATATATATTAATGATTCTAGAGAGGAAAATAGATATATATATATATATATTCGTAAATGTAAAATTTAATTCATTAAAATTATCAAATATTTTTCTTAATATATATATATATATATATATATATATATAGAGAGAGAGAGAGAGAACAAGAGAAAGAGAAAGTGCAATGTACAAATGTTAACTGCTATTAAAGCGGAATCTAAATCAAGCGAACAAATATTAATAAAAAGCCGTTTGTGACAATTAATAATTTTATAAAAATTATTTTGTAAAAATTTTATTACCAAATTTTCTAAAAAATTTTTTAAAATTTATAATTAACGCTTTCTTATGCTCGTTAAATGATATTCGTTTATGCTCATTTGTTTGGTCTAAATTCAGCCTAAGATATCGAGCCTAAATATGGAAAATTATTCCGTTTATTCTTGCATGTAAATAATAATAATTAATATTTCAAAAGATTATACTTTATTCCACATTATAATTGTAACTGTGGAGACTCGCGATATGTGAGATTTTGCATTTGAGAATTATATTATATCACTATACTAATATGACCGACTAATTCTTAATGTAAATGATTGACAACCTCGTACTTTTCCCTCTCGGTACAAGATCCTTTTAAATCCGTTTTAAAACAATTGTCTATCTACATTTAAATATTATCGCACTTTGTTTACCTTTTTAGATCTCGTAGAAAATGTATAGTAAAAGAGATTTATGGATTTTATAAAGAGCATAAAGTACAAAAGCGAGATGCTTTTTATGTTTCTAGGATTTCCTATTAAATGCCGATTAAACAACACAATCGAATGATGTGACAATTTAATTATAATGCGTAGAACTTTCTTCTCCCAAGATATTTAATTCACAACCTTGAAACAATACTGAATAGTGATCGCAGACTAATCTTATCTTGAATATAGGCAACAAGTGAAACGTTCGCCTGTCGAATAGCAACTGTATCTACTGCGATGCTTTAAGTTTCTGCAGAAAGTAGACATAGAGATCCATTTCTATCGTTTATCTTCTAATCGTATTTATCTCTGTATATTTATTTCTGCAAGCAGGAAATTATTTTATTCTAATCTTTATTTTATTTTATATTTTTTATTTTATTCAAATTTTTTATAGTTTCAATAACTAAAAAGTGCGATAAAAAAAAAACGCTTCCAAACACATTTACGAAATTGTAAAAATTATTAGATTAAGATAAATTATCTCTAATTAATTTTTCTGATTGAAGTATTTTTTAACGCAATATGTTCAAAAAAGATTTGAAATATATTAAAATAAAGAAAAATTACAATACGGTTTCTATTGACAAGAGGAAACAAAATTAAACTACGTTTAATTTTCATTCAAACTAAAGTTAAATAATTTTACATTTTTTTGTTTCCTCGTGTGCAATAATTTGGTAAAATAAAAATTATAATTTTTTATAATAGATATATATTACAGCAATGTTTAAAAAATAAACAAGAGATTCTATACAAATAACTCTCATCATAGACAAATCTAAACTCTCCGAAAGCTTACAACCCATTAGTTACAGAAATATGCGTAAAAAACGGAAAATTACAGGATATATATTTAATTATGTCTGATAACTCAATTGTATTCTTAACTATTCAGAAGGCTCACGTCCCGTTTAGAACAATAGGGAAGATTCCGTTCCCTTTCACTGCACGATCTCTCTCTTTCGCGATAAATATTGATTATCTTGTAATACTCTCTCATCTACGCGTGTGCATTTGCGCGAGTGCGCACGTAATACGGCGGTAAGATCACTGGGCCAAGGACCAGTTCGACCGCGGTCATGCTCAATTCCCACGGAAGACTGGGTAACCGGTGTTCAAGACGTTGGTGTCATTATCCTCCGGTAAGTAACAGGTACAATTGAACGTAATCTTTTTCTCTTTATTGCAAAGAGGGAAATATTCGTGCAATTACGAGCTGCGTGATTAGAATTTGAGAAATCCGCTGTTCAAATTTATGTCACGGCAGCATCAAGTTTGCGGATAACGGAATGCCATCGTAATATTACACACGTTAGAAATTATGAGCGATGGTGTAAACAACGACACGAGGATGGGTTTCGCGATGGTCAGGGTTATATTAAAAGCAACTGTTGCTCAATTTCTACTCATTCTCATCTCGATGGAGATATTCAGATTTTAGGATCGCAGCGAGTGAGATGCCCTTTCAAAGTAAGTTGTTTGCATTTGATATTAGAACCCACATAGATATTTCTATAGCTTCTTGTTGAATAATTCCAATCATTATATTTTCCACATAAACGTGTCCACACATCTGATATCCGAATAATCATATACAATAAATATTTATATTTCAAAATCTGTGATTATTTGTTGTTTATATAATAATAAAGGTCTCCTCGACATTTAGTTTTCGTAAAGTTTTCGGAATGCTTTCTTACATCATTTAATAAAAATAACTCTGTTTCTCTGAATTTCAAATTTTTCTGGAACTTCGTATCGCGCAAGAACAGTGCGTGATTTCTTTAATCTCTTGGTAGAGATTTCTTCATAGAATCTTAGAATATGTGATACAAAACTATGCAAGATGTATTTCGTAAATACCTCGACCGCGACTACAACCAGATGCTGCAACTACCTCGAATCAAGATCATAAAACATTAATGACATCGCTGTCCGCTAAATTATTCTAATTTGTACAACGGGATTATTAATGCGTTAACACACGAATTTTCTAGTACTACACTGGACATATATGATAAATGCATATATGTGTTCCGATATGCTCATAAATTTATGAGTTAAGGCATTAATGATCAAGTGTGCGTAAGTCGTCATCGCTTTCAGTTGTCAGAGTAAGTCTGTCAGTCGGAGGTATTAGATTTACTATGTGTCTTTACATTATTAAATCTCGACTTGTACTATATTGATTTAAATCTCTAATATCAATCGCGTCGAAACATCGCGCGAGAAGCGAAGTCGCTTCTCATATGCATACATCAGGGGACCAGATTGTTTTCTCGATAATGCGATTGGTCATTTTTTTTTCATCGACCCACCCACGGAGATTAGGTCGATGATCTCGGAGTCGCTTGCGGCCCGCTGCGGCGATCGAAAAAGAGAAGTCGCCGTATATCCGAGAGCCTTCGCAGGTTGCGCAAGGCAATCGTCGTTTGCCTCATGTCGTCTCATTACGTAAGCGCGAAAACTGCAAGCCGCACAGCCGACATCGCCGTCTCGTTCGATTCGAAAAAGGAAAATTCCGGTGTCGCGCGCGTATCGCGAGTGTACGCGATGCGCGTCGCAGGTGTGAATGGTCTCTGGAGGCAGATGGTGAACGCAGATGGAGAAGACCGGAGGGTCGCGGAGATTTCGAACGGGGGTGACACTTGGGCGACGTGCTCCCGATTCTAGAACTCTCAGGGGCAACGACGCGGCCACGCCGAAATGAACTTTCCCGGGTTATGTAAAGACCGGCGCCTCCGCTTCGTGGACTCCGCCGATATAAAGGTCGGCTCTGCCCCCAACGATCCAAGAGTTGCTCGCGAACTCCACGCCGGCGATCATCGAGAGAGGCGAGCGACGCTCTACATGTGACGCTGTCCATCGCGTTTGTTTGCTTACCTGCCTTTCCGTCAGCATTATTTATTTTACTTAAAAAAGCGCCTGTACTCCGCTCGAGGCGCTTCGCTTTCTCGGACACGTGTATCGTAATCGTACATAAAACGCGCGAGTCAATCATCGAGTCGGCAACATGCGTACCCTGGTAAGTACGCTTCTCTTCTAATTTTCTTTCAGATCTTATACGAGCTAATGGTAGAATATATTGCATAATAATTAATCTCTAAGTTACCGAGCCATAATACAGTCTGTTCGATTCACAAGGGATGCAATATGCTAAATAAATAATACAATTATAAATCGAAGAATTAATAACATCTTTTCTTTATGATACTAAAATTGATAATTGCAAAAAATCTCACTTTGGCACAGTTTATGATCATATGAATAATTCGAATGTTAAGACGTAAAATTACATTAATTAAAACTGTTTTATGTTTCCTATTTTTGTATTCTTGGGTAAAAAAAAAAAAATTATATATTTTATATAGAAAATATCTAACACAATGTGTTTTTGTCAGATACTTATAAGGACAGCTTTTATGTTAGTATATATGTATAAACATAAGTTATAATTTTACGAGGGAGACTGCTTTTGTGGAAGAAGCTTTTACGAGTAACACAGATAAAGTATGATGTGCCACCGTACTCTTGTAACTTTACGAGCTTCATGTATCTGGAACACACAAAGGGAAATACACATAAATTATAGATAAACTATATATATACATTGTGGATTTTTGACATAAGATTAAGCATTATGTTAATCTTCGGCAATATAAAATAAATTAACTCGCACTTTCACCATGTTCATTAATATGTGCGTTTTAAATTGGCACCATCAATCTCTTTCTTCTCTCTCTAGCTCTCTTCTCACAATACAGGTTTTATTATTTAAATATCATTTATTAATACCATTTATTTCGTTATTTTACTATTGTTATGCAGTTATGATAAATCATCCTGATAAAAATGTCGATAAAACTCGGGTATAAATTTTTCCTTGCGATAATTTCTCTTGAAAAATAGAACGCGTATTCAATTTCATATATCTTCATATTAGTCATACTCCATACATTTGATTTCCATAACAATGAACGCAAATCCGATCATTGATTTCTTAAAATCGCGAAATTGAAATTGATCACGTGTACATATTTATAAACGATCGTGCATGATATAATGCTACGTGTATGGTAGGGCTATTCGTCATCGCATGAAAGTTTCGCAGCACAAAACGACCATTACAATATTACATAATCTATTAAATTACGTAACTTCATTAAATTGTAAAGCTCTCATAACAACATTGTCGCGCCTTGCATAGAGAATAGCCATCATCCATTATAACGAACAAGCTTTAAATCATTAATTTACATGCGTCTATTTTTTCTAAGCATCTACTTTCTCGCATAGAAAACACAAACTGGCCGATCATTTTAAAATATTCGCTCGATATCTAGCAACAATATTATTATTGATTAATGATGTTAGTGGAGAGTATATCTCAAAGCAGCTAACGAAAATTGCAATAAATTGCCAAAGGATATAATATTATAAGATGTCAATTAAGAGAGATTTAAGCGTTAAAAGGTATTAAAGCAATAAAGACAAACAAAACATAGTACGATATTTTATCTTTCTACAAAAGACTAAAGTGTTAAATTATTTCAATCTATTTTTGAGTTTTTATTTACTTTTTATGAATTAGAATTATGTTAATATCGGCGCTTCTTATAAGATTCATCTCTCTGTCATCAAAAAGAATACGTTTATTTATGTCGAATATGATTGGTCCGGTGTTGCACGGTGAACGGTGACAAGCTCACCGGTTAAACCGGGACAAAACGAATTGGTCTTGGTTGCTAATTGGAAACTATGGTTATGGGAAAAAGTCACGTTCGAAGCGATTGTAACGTAATACGGTGTCATTAGCGTGCGATGCCCTCCCGTTCCTTTTACCGATCGCAATGAACATACCGTGACCTACCTATCTACCAACACATTCTTCTTGTGCTGACCTTTCGCGGGGAAAGGTATCTCCGGCGTCTCTTTATGGGATGGACATAACGAGGATTACAAAGCGTATAGTGTGCGTATAGACAGTTTTCCATTCTTCGATGCCGCATGGACGTCGTTAGACATCCTCCTCGAGATGGAAATACAATTAGACGGCTCCAACCTTTTGATGTTGCTCCTGCCCGGATACCATCGTCTTGATTACTACGTGCTAAATCTGTCCATTAAGATATTTGCATGATAATGCGAATTACATTTTTAGTATTTTTAATACCAGGTCTTTGCGTCTGTAAAGCCTATGAAATTAAATTTAGTGTGATCGTAAACGTTCGCCATGTGAAGTCCAAGTATTTATTAGTATTTATTTTGATAAGCGAGAGTCCGTCGCGAGAAGGACGCCCGTGTCATCGCCATTCTATTAAATTCCAGAAACGACGTTATATCCATTATAGAATGATGTAATTAACTCAATATTTATGATGAATCATTAATCATCTATTATGCAAACTATTGCGCATGTTCTCGTAAATAAGTCAAGAGAGCAATTTTATGAGACATTTTAGATTTTAATATAAAGTATGAATAAATTTTATTAAGGAGATATTTACATCGCCTTTAAAATAAATGACGTAAAAATGATCGATCAAATCGTCGTGATCCTTAAACTTATTTCCACAAATAATCGCTTGTTTTGAAAACCCTGTAAGTCTAATCTTTAGACATAAATTTTAATAAATGGCAGATACATAACACATATAAATTGATGCTGTATGTAACAATTTTAAGATTTGTAATAATATATACTTATTGCTAATAGAAAAGGCAGATACACACACGACGACGAAAGAAAAAAAGATACTAATTTTACCTTTACATTTTCAGTTGTTAGTAGCCCTGCTTGGATTGGCCCATGGCCAATTCTCCCCGGAGCCGGAGAGGATCGTAAGTTACTCGCGAGATCTCGGCGATACCCGCGGACACTATTCTTTCGCTTATGAGACGGCGGGCGGAATCGTCCAACAAGAGACCGGCAGTCGCAAGTACGCCGGCACCGAAGACGAAACGCAGCTCATCCAGGGCTCTGTTCAGTACAACGCGCCAGACGGAACCCCTATCTCCATAAGCTGGACCGCCGATGAGTACGGTGCCCAGGTGGCCGGTTCCCATCTCCCCACCCCGCCACCCGTTCCACCAGAAATTCAACGTGCCCTGGAGTGGCTTGCTAAACAGCCCACAACTCCGGAACCAATCGAAAAGGACAATCCGACGCAGAATGCTGTGTCTCACAACAATCGCCCGCAAAGATTCTTCTCGAATAAACGAAACTAAATGCGCGCCCTCAAATTAAATCCGCTCATAACATCCCATATATTTACCGCATCGTACAATGTGACATCCAATAAACTCGTATTTTTATAGAAATTCTCCCAGGACTACTGTTTCAATTTTCTATTGTCACTTTTTCGTTATTATTATTTTAAACTGAAATGAATAGTCAATTAGATGTGACATTCAAATATATATGAAAACAATAACACAAATGAGTAAGTATACATTGAGATTTTATGTAATCTTCATATATGTAAATACGTTTCATTTTTTTAATACATTTCTTAACAAAGCATGATCTCTTTGTAAAGCAAGTTTAAACAAATGTTTTATGGCCATATAAATGCGATGCTATCCTTAAGAAAACATCGATATTTAATATAATGAAAGCACTGAAATCATACAATTTTTTTATAGGTGCATTATATTATAATATATTACGTAATATTTTTCTTTTCAATCATAGTCATTTATATAGCTGAATAATGATATAGCATATTCTTACCAATTAAATTATTGCCGTTTCATCTGTGGAATTATGTATATAGAACTTTTATTTGACATAACTCAAAAGTAAAAAAGCACAATTATTATTCAAAATCGAGACGCTAATTATGGTTTATGTCATTTATTTGACGATTCATTCATATACGAGAAAATGCTCACGCACGAAAAAAAGTGCGTATAGTGTATCAAATTTTCTACAAATTTATAGATCTTTGACACATACACATACACATACACACTTTATCGCATTATTAACGCTCCTTCTGTGAAAAAATATTGTAAGCAGCCGTTGACATAATGATCAAAAAAACCAAGTACTATTGCCTGTCATGAGCCTTGATAAATATCAATTCAATAAGAGACATGCTTGGCTTATATCAATAATATTTTTTTACAGAATATTATTAAGATTTTCTTCTTATATATAAATACACAGATGTCGTAAAAAATAAAAATTTATGTAAGCGCAAAAGTATAAAAATAATCACAAGAAGGGCCGAATCTTGAAATTGCTGACCTCGAGAATTGAGTACTCCATGTCTCGATTCAATCGCGATCAAGTGCGCGTCGAATTCTTTTGATCGCTCATATTGTCCAGGCTTACTACCGATTTTATTCATATTTCCAATATAATGTTCTTATTATTCTCCATTTTTCTCGATTTGTTCAGCGATATATTGAAGAGCCTTCTCGATTAGTGGTATTATTCGTCTTTATTAGATACATATAAGAATAAACATTGTCCATGGTGTCAGAGTGCTGTAGCTACCTTATGCCTCCAGGGTCTTTTGCTCGGTGTCTGTACGATTGAGATAACGATCTCCTTGGGCCTGGATGCCGGTATCAGTGTTGTAGCTCTAAAGAGACTTGCTTTGTAGATAGTAATTTGACAATAAAGGTGAATTTACCGTGGATAACACGGATAGCCTGGATGACGTAGATGGCGGTGGTTTTCCGTTCTCCTTATTTAGATTATATGTAGTTGTAGAGGATTTTGAAGTTGTGGGATACCGTTATAGCAATGTTTTTGTGGTTATTTCAACCTTGTTAATGCCGTTGTAATTTTCAGTTTGCGTTTTCTGGACATTTCTGGAGCTCACACTAATGGGATGATTGTATTGAATGCCAGTATCATTGTGGCAACAGTAATTGCAAAAGTAATCTTTACCATGCTTGTCCATGATTTGGCAGCTACTCAGATCATCTTTCTGAGCTATTATCACTGCCACTTCCATCAGAACGCACAAAGTAATTATCTGAAAAAATTAAGAATTATATAGTTTTTTAAAATCATATGTAAATTTGATTTAAATTTTATTGTAGAATACAATAAAATTAAATATATTTATATTCACAAGATGGATTAATAAACAATAGGGACTAAAATCTATTTATATGGTACATTCAATTGAAACGTGGATTAAGATCATCGTTCCATAAAAGTCTCAGAATCTATATTTTAGTTAAACGTACCTAATATATCTTTATAATATAAATATATAATGTGTTCAAATTAGACATATATAACTAGTATAGGCTAAACTAAAAGATTATTATAAACTCGTATCGCAAAACATCGCAATCATATCAACAGATCTTGTCCTCAGAGCTCTGTATATCGCGTATATAATCTCGTGGTACTTCGTTACGTAATTTCTTAATTACAATATTCAGACTCACCAATCGATTCATGTTGAGAAAAGGTATACTATGTTCTTAGCTGTTGCTCCGAAATTTCTCACTACACTGACTTAACGTTTCGTTCAGGCTTTATATGTACATTCGCCATCCAAAATTCTTAGGACCTTCTAATAACTTTAATTAAGCCTTACATCCCTCAGATCCCCTTGTCTATCATTCCAACGAATAATAATATACATCCGAGATTTACGGACAAATCGCACTCACGTACACGTACGCAGAACTTGTTCTCCTTGGCGAGATTTTAAATCTGTGTTTGTGTCTAAAATCACAAAAACTGGCTGAAACTAAATTTAGACAAGAAATGTAAATTTACTCATTTAGGATCATAGACTCGAGAGTTATATAAACTTTATTATGATATTTTTTGAAATTTATTATTTAAAGATTTATTTAATATGCAAAAATTATATAATAAATAGTATACATGAGTAATACATGAGTTATTAATTTTGTAAAATAAAGATATACTATTTTCCTAACTACAGCTCAAAAATTTCTCAGTACACTGACTTAATATACTGTGCAAGCTTTATGTATTTGACATCCAAAAATTCCGAATATTTAAAAAATATCTTGAGCTTTTTTATCTGTTTGTCGTTTTTCTCATTCCAATAAACCATGTTTGTGGATGAGCCGAACGCGCATGCACGTACACGCATGCAAAATCTGATCCTCTTGGCAAGATTTTAAATCAGTATCTTTATAAAGTAATAGATTATAAGAGTTTTCGAAAAATGACGCTCACACATGAAGAAATTTGCGCATAATGCATCAAATTTTCTACAATTTTATAGCGCTTTGACAACATACACACTTTATCGCATTATTAACGCTTCTTCTGTTAAAAAACTTCCATTATGACTGTCTGATCGAGAGAAATTGCTTGTGTCGATTTACAAAAATCATAAAATATGATTGTATATATAAATATCTTATAACATTGCGTTATAACGCATTTTATTCGCACAAAAATGCGGGCTTATTAATAAATTCATGTTAAATAAAGATATATGTTAAGATCAAAGTCGTTAAGAGGAAGATAGAACATCCGTATCTTTACCTATTTGATATAACTATTTAATTTTTGCGTTTTAACATCATTGATCAGTTCTAAATTTAAAAAAAAATTTATACATAATGCGTTTTATTCGCACAACAAATTGGACTTACCAATGAATTCATGTCGAAGAAAGATACACTATTTTTCTAGCTACAGCTCGGATATTTCTTACTACACTGACTTAATATCCTGTTCAGACTTTATATATTCACCCTGTGAAGAGTGTGTAACAATTTCTAAAATATCTTAGGCTGTCCTACATATTTGTTATTTTCATCATTCCCACATTAAATCATGTTTGTGGATGAACTCGAAACACAAATGCATATTTTTAAACTTCTGATCTCCTTGACAATATTTTAAATTTATACTTGACAGTCAAACATGTGAAATCACAAAAAGTCAGCTGCAGTTGAATTTAGTAAAGAGATGTGAGAGCCCATTTAGAATTCGATAGAACAGAGTTATAAATTCTGTCACTGGGAAAAGAAATAGAAAACAAAAATACATGCATTTACGTTTATAATATTATAATATAATCGAAAATCGCAGAAATTGCCGAATAACTTTGATGACGTATCAAATAATGTGTGCAATATATTTTATGCAATTTTGTATTTTGAAAACTATTATAAAAATATTATAGTCTATTTGTCGCAAATAAAATTACAAATATGTATATAAGGGCATGATAAATATCAAGATATCAAGAAGACAATTGGCAGCAGAAGGTATTCCGATGGACACCGTAAAAAGGANATCTTGAGACAATAGAATGCGACAAGCCATAACAATTCGAAGATTTGAAGAATGCGTTGGACAATGCATGGTAATTAGAAACAAGAATACAGCTTGCAATTCTTGCAATTATGTAAAACTTGCTAATAATGATAATATTTTGTAATTATGTTATACTTTTTAATTCATTACATTAATATATAGAGCATTAAAAAGAGCATATATCAAAATATTATGCTGTTATAAAAATTATAACAAAATAATGTAAAAATATAAAATAATGTAATGTTAACTCAGTAATTAAAAGACCAGGTATTATCACCTGTTATTGCTCTTGATAAATATTTATTCAACAAGATATGTTTAAATCGATGATATATATTTATAGAATATCCTGATTTTTTTTCTTATACAATAAATGTGCAAAAATTAAAAAATTATATAAATGCATATAAATACAAAAGTAGTCTCAAGAAGAGAATTAAATCTTAAGATTGCAGGATTGATTTCGGGAATTGAGTGCCCCATGTTTCGATGCAATCACGATTGAGTACGCGCCGAATTCTTCTTATCTTTTCTTTTGTCTAAGTCCACCACCGATTCTACTCTATTTCCAGTTTAATGTTCTTATTGTTGCCCATTCTTTTCAGGATGTTCAGCGATATATTTAAGAGCTTTTTTGATCAGTGATGCTGTGAGTAAGTGAGCACCTTCCGGCTGGAACCCGTTCTCGTTGGCTACATACGAGACTTGAAAGGTATTTCCTTCGGCGTCAGTATAATTGTAGCTACCTCGTGCCTCCAAAGCCTCCTGCTCGGTGCTTATATGATTGAGGTAACCATCCTCTTGGGCCTGAATGCCATCAATGTTGTAACTATAACTGTAAAGCTTGTTGCTTGGTTGTACTGTAACTGTAACGCTTGTTGGGTACTTTAACTTTGCAGAAAACGCTACGAACTTATTGGAATTTAACTTAGGATTGGCAGATAATCTTTCTGTTTTTGCTATTATTAGTACGGCTTCCATTAAAACGCATAAAATGATTGCCAGCAAAAATAAAAAATCATATAGTTCTTTGAATCATATTGTACATTTAATTTAAATTGAATATAATAGAAAGGCTCCAAAGATAATAAACAATCGATAGAACGGCTCAAGAAGCAATTAACGAATGTTCGTATAATATAAAGTCACAATTTAAAAACTTAAAACGCGCGACAATTTTAATAAATTAAAATCAATTAAAAAACAAAAGAAATGCACAAGGTGTGAATAATAGAAGTAAGATATAAATTATAAAGAAAAACGCACATTTCAATTCCGAACTGGACTCTTTTCAATGTTAAAAATAAAATGTAAAACATAAAGAGCAAGCGGTCAGTAAATAAAAAATAAAAAAAAGCTGTCAAAAATGTAAAAAATCATGACGGATTGGTTGTTGAATATATTAAGTCCCTCCAAAGGCACCACTGTGAAATTCAAAAATCCATTATCCACCACAGGATTGTACCAAGAACTTGCGGCTAAGAATACAATTGAAAATATCGTTAAAATTAACTGTTGCAATTGCGATGCGCCTTATGTTGGCTAAACTAAAAGATTATTATAAACTCGTATCGCAAAACATCGCAATCATATCAACAGATCTTGTCCTCAGAGCTCTGTATATCGCGTATATAATCTCGTGGTACTTCGTTACGTAATTTCTTAATTACAATATTCAGACTCACCAATCGATTCATGTTGAGAAAAGGTATACTATGTTCTTAGCTGTTGCTCCGAAATTTCTCACTACACTGACTTAACGTCTCGTTCAGGCTTTATATGTACATTCGCCATCCAAAATTCTTAGGACCTTCTAATAACTTTAATTAAGCCTTACATCCCTCAGATCCCCTTGTCTATCATTCCAACGAATAATAATATACATCCGAGATTTACGGACAAATCGCACTCACGTACACGTACGCAGAACTTGTTCTCCTTGGCGAGATTTTAAATCTGTGGTGATATCTGTGTCTGTGTCTAAAATCACAAAAACTGGCTGAAACTAAATTTAGACAAGAAATGTAAATTCAAAAATTAAAAAATTATATAAATGCATATAAATACAAAAGTAGTCTCAAGAAGAGAATTAAATCTTAAGATTGCAGGATTGATTTCGGGAATTGAGTGCCCCATGTTTCGATGCAATCACGATTGAGTACGCGCCGAATTCTTCTTATCTTTTCTTTTGTCTAAGTCCACCACCGATTCTACTCTATTTCCAGTTTAATGTTCTTATTGTTGCCCATTCTTTTCAGGATGTTCAGCGATATATTTAAGAGCTTTTTTGATCAGTGATGCTGTGAGTAAGTGAGCACCTTCCGGCTGGAACCCGTTCTCGTTGGCTACATACGAGACTTGAAAGGTATTTCCTTCGGCGTCAGTATAATTGTAGCTACCTCGTGCCTCCAAAGCCTCCTGCTCGGTGCTTATATGATTGAGGTAACCATCCTCTTGGGCCTGAATGCCATCAATGTTGTAACTATAACTGTAAAGCTTGTTGCTTGGTTGTACTGTAACTGTAACGCTTGTTGGGTACTTTAACTTTGCAGAAAACGCTACGAACTTATTGGAATTTAACTTAGGATTGGCAGATAATCTTTCTGTTTTTGCTATTATTAGTACGGCTTCCATTAAAACGCATAAAATGATTGCCAGCAAAAATAAAAAATCATATAGTTCTTTGAATCATATTGTACATTTAATTTAAATTGAATATAATAGAAAGGCTCCAAAGATAATAAACAATCGATAGAACGGCTCAAGAAGCAATTAACGAATGTTCGTATAATATAAAGTCACAATTTAAAAACTTAAAACGCGCGACAATTTTAATAAATTAAAATCAATTAAAAAACAAAAGAAATGCACAAGGTGTGAATAATAGAAGTAAGATATAAATTATAAAGAAAAACGCACATTTCAATTCCGAACTGGACTCTTTTCAATGTTAAAAATAAAATGTAAAACATAAAGAGCAAGCGGTCAGTAAATAAAAAATAAAAAAAAGCTGTCAAAAATGTAAAAAATCATGACGGATTGGTTGTTGAATATATTAAGTCCCTCCAAAGGCACCACTGTGAAATTCAAAAATCCATTATCCACCACAGGATTGTACCAAGAACTTGCGGCTAAGAATACAATTGAAAATATCGTTAAAATTAACTGTTGCAATTGCGATGCGCCTTATGTTGGCTAAACTAAAAGATTATTATAAACTCGTATCGCAAAACATCGCAATCATATCAACAGATCTTGTCCTCAGAGCTCTGTATATCGCGTATATAATCTCGTGGTACTTCGTTACGTAATTTCTTAATTACAATATTCAGACTCACCAATCGATTCATGTTGAGAAAAGGTATACTATGTTCTTAGCTGTTGCTCCGAAATTTCTCACTACACTGACTTAACGTTTCGTTCAGGCTTTATATGTACATTCGCCATCCAAAATTCTTAGGACCTTCTAATAACTTTAATTAAGCCTTACATCCCTCAGATCCCCTTGTCTATCATTCCAACGAATAATAATATACATCCGAGATTTACGGACAAATCGCACTCACGTACACGTACGCAGAACTTGTTCTCCTTGGCGAGATTTTAAATCTGTGGTGATATATCTGTATCTAAAATCACAAAAACTGGCTGAGACTAAATTTAGACAAGAAATGTAAATTTACTCATTTAGGATCATAGGCTCGAGAGTTATATAAACTTTATTATGATATTTTTTGAAATTCATTATTTAAAAATTTATTTAATATGCAAAAATTATATAATAAAGAGTATACATGAGTAATACATGAGTTATTAATTTTGCAAAATAAAGATATACTATTTTCCTAACTACAGCTCGAAAATTTCTCAGTACACTGACTTAATATACTGTGCAAGCTTTATATATCTGACATTCAAAAATTCCGAATATTTAAAAAATATCTTGAGCTCTTTTATCTGTTTATCGTTTTCCTCATTCCAATAAACCACGTTTGTGGATGAGCCAAACGCGCACGTACACGCATGCAAAATCTGATCTTCTTGGCAAGATTTTAAATCAGTATCTTTATAAAGTAATAGATTATAAGAGTTTTCGAAAAATGACGCTCACACATGAAGGAATTTGCGCATAATGCATCAAATTTTCTACTATTTTATAGCGCTTTGACATACAACATACACACTTTATCGCATTATTAACGCTCCTTCTGTTAAAAAATATTGTAAGCAGCCGTTGATATAATACCATTGATTAAAAAACCAAGTACTATTGCCTGTCATGATCCTTGATAAATATCAATTTAATAAGAAACATGCTTGGCTTATATCAATAATATTTATTTACAGAATATTATTAAGATTTTCTTCTTATATATAAATACACAGATGTCGTAAAAAATAAAAATTTATGTAAGCGCAAAAGTATAAAAATAATCACAAGAAGGGCCGAATCTTGAAATTGCTGACCTCGAGAATTGAGTACTCCATGTCTCGATTCAATCGCGATCAAGTGCGCGTCGAATTCTTTTAATCGCTCATATTACCCAGGCTTACTACCGATTTTATTCATATTTCCAGTACAATGTTCTTATTATTCCCCATTTTTCTCGAGCTGTTCAGCGATATATTGAAGAGCCTTCTTGATTAGTATGTGATTCGTCTTCATTAGATATATATGATAATAAGTATCAGTGTTATAGCTCTAAAGAGATTTGCTTGGTAGGTAGTAACGTGAAAATGAAGGTGAAGATACCGTGGATAACACGGATGGTCTGGATGACGTAGATGATGTAAATGACGCGTATGGCGGTACTTTATTTTCCTTATTTATATTATACTTATTATTTTTCTCAATATTAGAAGTTGTAGAGGATTTTGAAGTTGTGGAAAACCGTTTGAACGTGGGAGACGTCGATGACTCGTATGGCGGTTTTATATTTTCCTTATTTATATTATACGTAAAAAAAGAAGTATTTTTCCCAATATTAGTTGTAGAGGATTTCGAAATTGTGGAATACCGTAGTAGCGATGTTCTTTTCGTGGTTATTTCACTTTGCGTTTTCTGGCCTTTTTGGGGGCTCACACTAATGGGATGACCGTATTTTTGGACTTGATTGCCGGTATCATTGTAGTGGCAATAGTAATTGCAAAAGTAATCTTTACCATGCTTGTCCAGGATTTGGCAGCTACTCAGATCATCGTTTTTCTGAGCTATTATCGCTGCCACTTCTATCAGAACGCACAAAGTAATTATCTGAAAAAATTAAGAATTATATAGTTTTATAAATCACATGTATTGTAAATTTGATTTAAATTTTATTGTAGAATACCGCAGAATTTCTAAATATACTTATATTGACAAGATCGATTAATAAACAATAGGGATTAAAATCTATTCATATGGTACATTCAACTGAAACGTGGATTAAGATTATTATTCCATAAAAGTCTCAGAGTCTATATTTTAGTTAAACGTATATATCTTTATAATATCCTAATATATCTTTATAATATAAATATATAATGTGTTCAAATTAGACATATATAACTAGTATATCAAAGAACAATTTATTATTATTAATATAATGTAATATTCTTGTCTTATGATTTACAATCTGGTAAAGCGCCATATGATTTTCTTTTGCATGATGTGTATACAACTTATTTCTATAGAATTAAAGTGTAATTGTGATCTGTTAAATCGCAAGAGATTATATTAATCAGTCTATATACGGCGTTCCATATTGATGTCTATATTGATGACTGAAAATCCAAGTTTTATATTTTCGCAAGAAACTTTTCGAGAGCAACAGAAATGTATAGCTTATTTGCACATTTTGTAACATTTGTTGTAAGCACTCTTCTTTCATATATACTTATTTATTAGTTAATTGAAATGTTTAAATTTAATAGTCTCATTAGTAATACTAAATATTAGATTATTTGGTATAACTATTTAATCAAGAATGTCGAAATAAAATGGCAAAATGAGCCAAGCGCGGTATTAAGGGCGCATAAATATTTATTTTAAAAGAATTACATTAAAATTTAACTATTTAATTTTTACATTTCGATATTATTAATCACAGTTTCAAACTAAAAAAAAAATTCTACTTTTATGAACGTCTGATCGAGAGAAATTACTTGTGTCAATTGACAAAAACATTCGATTTACAAAAATAGTAGATTCGTGACTGTATATACAGATCTCATGCTACTGCCTTACAATGCGTTTTATTCGCACAAAAATTCGGACTTACCAATAAATTCATGTCAAATAAAGATATATTATCTTTTTAACTGCAGCTCAGAAATTTCTCACTACACTGACTTAATATGCTATGCAAGCCTTATATATCTGCCATCCGAAGGTATCCTGGAAAAAAATTTCTTATCCTTTCTATCTGCTTTTCATTTTCCACATTTCAATAAATCCCATTTGTCAATGTGCGAAACGCTCATTTACGCACATGCAGGCAAATCCTAATCTCCTTGGCACGATTATTACGTGCAAATATTATTTGAATTTGATGAGATAATATTATACAAATAAAAAAATAATTACGACGCGAATAGCCGTGTTTCGACATTGCTTGCAAAAGAACCGCGATTGAGGCCGCGTTAGGTTTTTTTCAATCTGTCATCTTGTCAAGACTCATTTACGATTTACCGATTTTACCCATCTTTCCGTTATGTCCAGTGTTCTTATTCCTTTCCTCTCTCTTCGGAATGTTCGGCGATATATTGAAGAGCCTTTTTAATTAATGATGGTACTGTAGGCAAGTGAGCACCCTCCGGTTGAAATCCATTCTCATTAGCTATATATGAGACTTGGAAGGTGTTACCCTCGTTGTCAGTGTAGTTGTAGCTGCCTCGTGCTTCCAGGACTTCTTGATTGGTGCCCACATTATTAAAATGACCGTGTTCTTGAGCTTGGATGCCAGTATCAGTGTTATAGTTGTAATTGTAAAGAGACTTGTTTGGTCTTGGGGGATAAATAGATGGCATTAGCGTAGGGGCAGGATCCGTGGGAGGGGCCGTTTGGCCCCTTATAAATACAAGGAGCTTGGCCTCATTTCTATTAGGAGATTTTGTTACAGATAATCTTTCTGTTTTCGCTATTATCACTGTCGCTTCTATCAGAACGCACAAAGTAAGTGTCTGAAAGGTAAAGAATCATATAGTTCTTTAATCTATAAATTTGAATTAAATCTAATTATAGAATACGAAAAAATTTCTGAATATTTTTATACTGATAAGATCGATTAACAAATACTCGACACACCGAAATATCTCTGTAGTGAAAATATAATGTGTCTAAATTAAATTATAATGTGTTCAATGCTGAAAAATGATTTGTTATTGGTAAAATATATTCTCTTATCTTACGGAATATAATCTGGTAAAGCGCTTTTAGTTATATTATCTTTTTTGAGTAATGTACACACAGCCAATTATATTTTCATATAATTAATATGTGATTATAATCTGTTAAATTGCAACAAAATATTTATCAATCTATGTATAATTAACGATTAAAAATTCAAGTAGCTCTATATTTTCAGAAAAAACTTGTCAAGAGAAACAGAAAATGTATGGCTTATTTATCTATTTTATAACATTTGTTTTATGTGTGTGTGTGTGTGTGTGTGTCTGTGTGTTAGCACTTGCTCTGTACATACAACTTATTTATTACCTTAAAAATAATGTTTTAATTGTGTAACTGTATCAATATTAATAGATGATTTGGCGTAACTATTTAATTTTTACACAGCTCAAAATTATTAATTAGTTTTAAAACAAATTTTTCTTAATGATTGTCTGAGAAAAGTGTGTCGATTCACATAAATATTTGATTTACAAGAATAGTAGATTCGTGATTATGTATACAGATCTCGTGACACTGCGTTATATAATGCGTTTTATTCGCACACAAAATTGGGCTCACTAATAAATTCATGTCGAAAAAAGATATATTATTTTTCTAGCTATAGCTCGGAGATTTCTTACTACACTAACTTAACATTCTGTGCTAGCTTTATATATATCTGCTCAAAAATTCCGGAAGTTTTTAGATCACCTTAGGCTCTTTTCTCTCCTTGTCATTTTCCTTATTCCGATAAACCACTATTACGGATGAACCGAAGGAGCATACACGCACACACATGCAAAACCTGATTGCCTTGGCAAGATTTTAAATCTGGGATTATAAGCGTACGATCACAAAAGTCGATTGAATTTAAATGTAGTAAAAATACATGAATTCGCCCATTTAAGATCCGATAGGACAATATTATAAATTCCGTCATTGAAAAAAGAAAGAAAAAATAATGTGTATTAAGAATTAATTGAATGTAATTCAAATATTAATACGTTTATGTTGCAAAATTTATAATGCATTTATCAATGGCATATAGTTAATAATATTATATGCAAATATTATATAAATTTATTGATAATATACAAAAACAAAAATTTTTTATTTAAACTAGAACACTACTTATAAGCGCGCGCTACGCGCGTGCTATTTATTTTGTGTGTTAACTTTAGTTCTCCGTTTCTTCAAAATAAATTAAATAAAAATTACATACACTTAATATTTGAACTGTCAAATGCGTCGCTCAGTTATGACAGGCTTTTAATGATATAAAGTAATGCACAGCGTGTCGTCGAGATAACCAATCAGCATCGCGGAAAAGAGATAACGATACTTGCAATTATTGATTTGATATATCTTTTTAAAAGTGAATATCTCGATGAGAACTGTTCACGACATATTATTAGAATATTATATGCGTGTATATGTATTACATAAAATATTATAAAACCTATTTATATATAAAATATAATAATTAAAATTTAATATTTTTGTATATATATATAATATATTTCGGCAGCGACTTATCAATAACATGGTATTCACTTTGACGGTGCGGCGTAAACATTGGCGCGCACATATTTTATAATTTATTCATTTAACCAAATAAGAATTAAAATAATAAAAAACCAAATTATAAATTATCGTTTTGTTGCGTTTTTTTACGGACCAGCATCTAAATATGATTCGGATTAAGATCGAGCAATTAAACAATCGATTCGCAAAATCGAGTAATTAACACAAGACTTCGCGATACATCAATCGTCTAATAAATATAATTAATCATAATTTAAAATATATTTTATACACTTTAATATTCCGCGTATATATATAATATAATAGTACATAAAATATTTCGGCAACGATTTTTCAATAACATGGTAATCAGCCTTGGCGGCGTAAACATTGACGCGCTATTGTTTACGTATCATGATTTTGTTATTACTCATACCGCGACACTTGAATAAAAACTATAGTGGGGCGAGACGCTCCATCAACATCAAATTTCTTTCTTATATGTTATCATTCACACGACATCGAAGTAATCGGTGAATTCCCGACTTGTCGACTCGAAGTGTGATTCTCACGTAAAGCGGGATTCGATCGTGCCAAAATTCGAAAGTGCGGGAGTGTCGTTTAAAGTATCGCGAGTATAAGTGCGGAAGTAATCTTTTAATAAAAGTGCAGGAGTGCCGTTTAAGGTATCGCGCGTGTGAATCTACCTGAGAGGAGGAGGAGGCCTAGGAAAGGCATCGGGCATTGGTGGAACATCCTTGTGGTATGTTATTTTGTATTCATTATTTATTAATTGCGTACGTGCAATTTAAATTAAGCAATTAATCGCGTAATATGATTTTTTATTTATATGATTTCAACAAGAGAATTAGAAAAAAAGATTTTTATATAAAAGCTATAATCTTGTAAAAGTTTTTCCTTTCTGATTATAGCTTTTATATGGAATTATTAGAGTTATGAATAGTGCTTTTTTTCAAAATTTATAAAATTATTTTATTAATCTGCATATTATTATATGGATCGAATATAAAATTCGCATCATATCAATGCAATGATAAAATCAATGCATATAATAATTTTTTAAAAATATTAATTGTTTTGAGTGCTGCTACAATTTGGATCTTTTATTTGCATGTTACAGAGCAACGTAGCGATCTTGACAGTCTGAGAGGAGGAGGAGGCCTAGGAGAGGCATCCTGCACCGGCGGAGCAACCTAAGGGTGAGTATTTATTATTTGTATATTAATTATTATAAATCGTGTAACCGCATTGATTTAATTCTCATTATTCAAATAAGTTAGACAAGAGAAAATTAGAGAGAAGACTTTTACATACATCCTATAAATGTTTTTATTATAAAAAAAATAGTCTTTTTAGAATTTATAGAAGTTTCATATTTATATATCGATTACTATTGTACGTATCGGATATAAAATATTCCGCACGAAATATTAATTATATTTTGAACGCTGCTATAATTTAGACTTTATATTTCGATGTAGCCGGAATGAATATGGCCAGGATCAACGAAAGGTAGGTCCAACTGGCCCAACGAAAGCAACATGCGGTGCATTTGATTAGGGCATGCGAGTAGGGCACGGGAGTAGGATACACGAGTACGATAGACAAACAGGGCATGCGAATAGGGCACGCGAGTAGGGCACGCGAGTAGGGCATGCGAGTAAGGCACGCGATTAGGACACGCTCCCCAAAATATCGGTGATCCCTGATTCCCGTTGGCTTAGCCAACAAAAGTAGGATTGTTAGGACTATCTTAATATACTTAAGGAATGAAATGCTTATTAGGAATTTAAAAAAATACTAAGATTATTAAAATATTGAGGAGATAAATAAAAAAAATAAAATACAAATAATATAAAATTTAAATTTATTTTCAGGCAGTTTTAAAAATTAAATTAAAATTATTTAATAAAAACATGTATAATGGCAATATAATAGAAATTCTAAATTAATATATTTGTTAAAAATATTAGTTTCTATATTCTTTATTTTTAAAATATTCATAAACTTAAGAGCTTATGTTTTTATACTAAAGAATTGTTGATAAATTTGAGAAACTATATTTCAAACTTTATAAATATCACGAATATTGCTAATTCTTTTAATATTTAATAGAAAAATTATTGAATAAGAGTGTGAAGATTCGATGTTAAGCTAACGATTAAATATTAGCTTTTCGTTCACGAAATTTAACGACTGCTTTCGACATTACAAAATCGCGAGTAAATTATCTCGAATTTTATGATTCTGATTTGATTGATATTTACGGATTTCGTATCGGAATTAAATATTTGTCAAATAAATTAATAAACTACATCGCGAAAACACCGCGTTTTTTTCACGTTCTTGGACGCGATCGCTGTCTTAACCAAGGGGCCTTATCATTGTCCCTCTCGTCAGGTAAACGTTAGTAATGTTGCGTGGTTCGTACCGACGAGGAATCGAAACAATCTTCACTGTGGAGAATTATTTCTTGTCGGTTCTTGTAAGACCCATCCGCGACGTCTAGTTCGGTGTCCTGTTGAAAATTGGGAATGTTTGTTGCAGGATTGGAATTAAACCCAGGTTTTCTTGGCGATTTCTGAAAGCAATGGTTTTGGTAGTAACTCAACGACGACTGCTACACGCCTTTTCGAAGTCGAAACAGAAAATTAATTTAAATAGTATATTTGAAGAGAAAATATATTTCTTTCTCTTCATTAAAAGTGTTCTTCCATCATTATTAATATTAGTATTTCTATTGTCTTAATGCTCAATTGAACATGGATATAACTAATGTATTAAGATAATTTTATATTTTCCAAGCAATTTAAAATTGTAATCAATTTGTCCAATTTTCTATTGACTTTTTTAATACAAAATATTATGGTTACGAACGGATATATATTTTTAATCTTTTTTTTTTGAGAAAATATTTCTAGGTACTGAGGATATTAAGATTATATTTCTTGGTTTCTTTTAAGAAATCATTTGCAGGTATTGGACATCCTGCCATTCTAGGTGCGTCCTGGATAGTTTTTAGATATATCATTCTATATATATAATAAAATACATGCGCAAATTAACATACTATTTTATAAAATTTTTACACTTTTTTTGAATATTATATTATGTATGAATATAATGTAAAATGTGCGTATACTTTAAAACTTCGAGACAAATCGAATGGGTACCCCAATATCAGCGAAATATCGACAAATTAATGTATTTAAATGCTACAAAAAGAAATTAATTATAACTTAGAATTAATTATGCTTTATATTATTTTGATTTATTTTGTATGTTGCAAAGTATTCAAATTAATTTTTTTTAATTTTGCTGTTATCGGGTTTGATTCGTCTCGAGCAGTTGGTACCCAAGAATTATTTGTACTCGCACATTTAACACAAGTTACGATAAAGATGCATGTATTTTATTATCCACAAATATAGTCATTCGTAACCACATTTCCATAAAAATCGTTATGTCCATTCATTTTTCAATAAAGAGATATATTTTTTAATAATAGAAGAACACATTTTCTCGCGCGATTCTCAATCTCGTGAATTGAAGATAATGATATGGTAACTGTCGTTGATTCGTTACCGAAATCATTTCTATTGGGAGTAGTCCGGAAGATCCGGAATTCGTTCCCTCCTACAGCGGGACCCTTGATATTCAACAGATCACTTAACTTTTCTTTGCGAATTGATCTTGCGGGGTCCGATGTAGAAACGAGAAGTTGATCGTTCTCCATCTTTAGGATTGTTCTTGTCTTTGTCGGATATTAACCGACGTGTTATCTGGCGGAGGGACCTTGATCTGGTCAAATTGTTGGGCCAGTTATCCTCCACTGAACGTGGTGATAACGCAGTTTTTTTATAACGGTATCTTAAAACTTATAAGATTTTATTCTGTTTAGCCAATCCTCCGCGAAACGGTACATATATTTTATTCTTAATCGCGAAATTTTCATAAAATCACGCATTTGAAAATTAATCGGGCATTAGATTCACAAATATACTTTATTACAGACGCGATTATAAAAAGCGCTTTAAATATCCGTCGAAACATTTTCGTTTAAGTATATATTGTAATTATATAATAATTATATCGTTCCCCGGATTGTTCCAAAAATTACATGTATACGTACATTGGAATCGAGTATTACGACTATCGTCGATTTATTTATTCATCGCGTTTTTTTCGCAAATTTTAAATCGCGGTTTATCTTGTTATTTAATCGTTGACTTATATCGAAGCTTCATCTATATTTTCTCGGATATTTTCTTTGAAAGTCTATGCAAAATGCGCCAGTAGTCTAAGTATTTTTTTCTACAATTGAAAAACGATCGATAACTTTATTAACGATTCTATTGGTCACAATTGTTTGCATTATACAAAACTTAATAAATTTTGTAATTGCATGTTGATAATTAATCATGAATATCGCATTAATTGTTGCTTATCAGTTATATCTGATCTAAAAATTTCTAATGAATTCTGCATTATATGAATATTTCGGACATTTTCGTGTAATTCCGTGTAATAAATTATTTTGTATTAAATTTTAAATTATATTTTATATTAAGCTCTATATTATATTTTGTAATATATATTTGTAATATAATTAATTTTATATTAGAAATATAGAATTAATTATAATCAAGCGACGTGGTAGCGCCGCGACGCCAA